CACCCTGTCCACCCTGTATCAGTACTCAGGATCTCAAACATCGTCTTACCCTTCTCAAATACTATATTGAAGGAGCAACGCTGCACGCACGGACATCTTCTTACGGGATCAACGGACAGGCTTGATCGGCATGCTTTCATTGGATAGAATTATGGTGAGGGGTCCACCCCCACTGAAAATCAGGAGGGGGGGGGGGGGATTTTCGATATTGAAGTAATCGTCGGCCGAAGCTCATGTCCTTTTTCTAAGAGTCCAGACAAGCCTTCAAAACTGCAATGTTAAGTTTTTTTTAAAAGGAGGATGACCCTTGACCTTTACATCTGGGAGATGCATATAGCCATTTTATTAATTATTCATAAAGATCTTACAAAAGTACATCAGGTAGGCATCATCTTAACAACATCTATTGTTGCTCCTATCCATTTGATGAAGGGATGTCGATAGTCCGAGCCTAATACCAAACAAACATCGCACAAATGCCTAACATCTAAAGCCGGAGGCCCCAACAAAGCCATATATTGGGTTTCGGGCGCAAACCAATATGACGCACTTTCATAGGTCGTCGCCGCCGTCTTCCACTGATCCATCTTCAGAGTATGCACTGATGCATCAACCTTACCAAACGTACCGTTGACGCCCCCACGGCGTCAGACAACGCCTCCTCCCTGCATGTGTCCATCATCACACATCCGTCAGCGAGGCCCTGTCGCGCCACGCTGCCGAGACTCCACATCGTCGATGCGTCACATGGAATGCTGCTCCACCGCTGGAACCGTCGGCGAGGCCCTGTCGCGCCACGCCACCGAGGCTCCACATCGTCGATGCGTCACATGGAATGCCGCTCCACCGCTGGAACCGTCCACTAGTTCCTCAAGCCAATGCACATCTCCAAGAATGACGCCCCCAAGGAGGGAACGACACAAGTGCGCCGCTGTCATCCGATCGATTGATCTTGGGTTTCCCCCGGAGGTAGCAGAAGGAGAAACTCTACACATTAACAACTAAGACATATATGGACTGCTACATTGTAAACCCATATGTTCTTCAAGGCACCAACCGGTCTTATTCTAGCATAAACTCAAAGAGAGCGAAAGGCAAAGGTAAAAGTAAAAAAAAAGGGGGCTTTGGATCAGCTATCTTGAGAGGCAACTTAACAAGCAAAGAAAAGAATTAAGTTCGCTGATGCAGCCAGGTCTGGATGTCCATATCATCTTTCCATAATTGAATTGAAGTCGTCCTTGACTAAAGCTCCTTTTTTTTTCTAAAATAAGTCTTCAAATCCGCAATATTAATTGTGTAACTCTTATATGGTTTGGATCAATATTACTCGTACATTTTGAAAACCAAAAGGAGAAATTCTACACAATGACACCTGAAACATGTATGCTCATTTGACTGCTATACTATAAACCAATATGTACTTCAAGGCACCAACCAGGTCTTACAATAGCATAAAGTGGAAAAAAAAGCAAAAGGCAAAGGTAAGAAAAGACAAAAAAAGGAAAAGAGAAGGCTGTGGACCAGGTTTCTTGAAGCCAAAGTAACTACAAGTAAAGAAAAGAATTTGGTTCCTGATGTGGTGGTAGCCAGGTGGATGTGCATGTCATCTTCCCTCCTTGAATTGAAATTGTCCATGACTGAAGTTCGTTTTCCTTTTTCCAAACAAGCCTTCATATCTACAAGAGTAATATTGATGACATGGTTTGGATTAGTTTTACATGTACATTTTGAAAAGAAAAAGGAGAAATTATACACATTAATACCAAAAGCGCATATGCACATTTGACTTGTTACACCGTAAGTAAGTCCGTAACTCTAAGGCATATACTATATTTCAAGGCGCCATGCAAACCAGGTCTTATTCAAGCATACAATAAAGAGCAAAAAGGCAAAGGTGGGTAAAAATAAAAGAAAAGGGCAAAAGATGGTCAAGATAGGGCTGTTGGACACGGTATCTTGAAAGCCAAATCAACAAGCAAAAGAAAGAATTTGATTCCCTGTTGTGCTGCTAGCCAGGTGACGTGCACTCAGACTGTACGTCTATCCATGGCACGCCATCCCTTTCTTTCCTTCTCCATGGCTACCAGCCGAAGCAAATCTTACACTAATAGAAAAAGGGCCTTTAGTCCCGGTTCTGGAACCGGGATTAAAGGGTCGGTACTAAAGCCTCCCCCTTTAGTCCTGATTTTAACTGGAACCGGGACTAAAGGCCCTCCACGTGGCCGTTGCATGGAGGTCCACCTTTAGTCCCGGTTACTAAAGGAGAATTTAAGATTTTTTTGAATTTTTTTTGAATTTCAAATTTCTGAATTATTTTAACCTCTAATCTCTAATCACCCCTCATCACTGCTCAATTTAACCTTTAATCTCTAATCACCCCCATCATTTCAAATCATCTAACTTCTCGAACTGTCACCCATCCTCTCACTACTCCAGCCTGAGCATGCTTAACTTCCGGGTTCTATTCTCCCTCGTTTCCAAGTCTGCACTTGTTGTTTTCCTGACAATAGTAAGATGTCAATCCTATTAACCCTCAGGAATTTAGCTTTAACATGAAGTCACACATTTCACTGTTTGAGTTTGAAACTATTGTTCTAAAAATCAATAATTATTTAGTAACACTAATATTTTTGAATAAGTAGTTTGACCATAGTTTGACCATAGTTGACCAAAATTCACAAAAACTGAAATAATTATTTAGTAACACTAATATTATTGAATAATTATTTAGTAACACTAATACTTCTTGAATAAGTAGTTTGACCAGATTTAACAAAAATAAAAAAAAACTGAAATTTGAGCATAACTTTTTTTTCCTTTTAGAATTTGAGGATTCTAAAATTTGCAAACAAGCCATAGGCCGTCTCCATCGGATGCGGATTTTCGTACCGAACATTTTGATATATTATACGTTTTTTTGCGACATCGTATGCAAAAGTTATAGCCGTTTTACATTTTCCCTATTTTTTTTTGCAAAACATGTCCAAATTTAAGTTTTTAAATTTTTCTAACTAGTAGATGTAGTAATATAACTACCTCTCGAAGGATTTTATTTTTTGAAGTTTTTATCATTTTCTTTTGATTTTTTCAAAACAAAAAAGGCGATCCAGGGGTGTGTGTGTGTGTGTGTGTGTGTTATAGTTTGAAAATGGGACCTGCGGTCCCGGTTTAAGACACAAAACGGGACTAAAGGGCATCACAGCCTTTAGTCCCGGTTCGTGTCTCAAACCGGGACTAAAGGTCTAATTTTTAGTCCCGGTTTGAGACACAAACCGGGACTAAAGGGCATCGCACCTTTTAGTCTCGGTTCGTATCTCAAACCGGGACTAAAGGGCTCAGATGAACTGGGACTAATGCCTTAGCCGCACAAACCGGGACCAATGCTCACATTAGTCCCGGTCCGTGACTGGACCAAGACTAATGTGAATATTGCCCCGTGACCAAAGCCCTGTTTTCTACTAGTGTTAGCCAGCCTCTCTCTCTCTCAAGAAAACTAAACCGTAAGGGAAGTCGAAGCCCTTTGATCGATCATTCATTCCTTCGATCTCCACCGGCTGGTTTTGTCGCTAGCTAGGTTGGGTGAGCGAAAGAAGAAACAAGAGAAGAGTAACAATGGCGGGGATGGCGCAGAGCGCGGTGGACTCTCTGCTGGGGAGGCTGAGCGCGCTGCTGGCGGACGAGGCGCAGCTGCTGCGCGGCGTCCGCGGCGCCGTGCGCTTCATCAGGGACGAGATGGAGAGCATGAACAGCCTGCTCGCCCACCTCATCGAGGCGGAGCACCGCGCCCACCACGTCCGCACGTGGATGAAGCAGGTGGTGGGCCTCGCCTGCGACAGCGAGGCCTACGTGGAGCTCTTCGCCCGGCAAGTCGGCGGCGGCCCCCGCGCCGGCGAGGGCCTCCTGGGCTTGTTGGAGTTAAACACGACTCAGTCCCCCTGTTAGCCGGTACGTGTTCAAGTTGGCTTGCATGCATGTATCCGAGTAGTGCAAGACTTGGGCCCAGTTCTTTTGTCAGAATCTGGGGATTCTCCCAGAATCCGACCCCTACCCAGCTTCTCCCAGAATCTTTGAGCCCCATTTGTTTCACAATCCCATCTAGTTAGGGTTAGATAGGATTGTGAAACAAATGGGGCTCAAAGATTCTGGGAGAAGCTGGGTAGGGGTCGGATTCTGGGAGAATCCCCAGATTCTGACAAAAAAACTGGGCCTTGGTCTCCGAGTAGTATGGTCCTGGATAGCTAGGTGCTAGTACTATTTATATGCGTGTAATCAGCCATGTAACTTGTACCATGTGTTTATGAAGTAATACAAATCAGAACAAGCTCGATACGAGCCTGTGGTAATACGCCGGCGTCTTGTGTTCACGTGCGTTGTTTCCGCCGGAGCTATATCCATCGGATCGAAAGCTAGCTAGCTAGCTACGTGTGTGTACGCAACAAGGATCGATCAGCTCGCCAAGGCTACTAGCTTTACACTGCGGTGCAGCGTGCATCTCGGCGTAAAGGAGATCGTCCAGAGTGCATCGACGATGTGGAGCAGCTGCAGACATCATTTGCATCTGCTGGGGACATCTGGGGGCGCTCTTTGCTCGAGCTCGAGCTAGACCTAGACGGCGAGGCTCTCTTCAACCAAGGCATCCAACATGTCATCGACGAGCACATACACAACCATTACAGGCACGAGCATACATGTCCACTAGTCCTTCAGATCTTATGGGACAACAAAACAATGTGGGACAAGCCATTTGTGAATCGTTTTACTTTGGAAATTTACCACCGTTGCTCCAGGTCCGCCTTATTTGAGTGGAAGGCTAGGGTACCTTCCATGTACATTGACAGTGACACTTACAGCTGTTACCACGAGATGACAGGTCTTCAGTTCCATATTATGAGTCAAATACCAAAGGTGAGTTCAGTGAGAGTAGGACCGAGAGCTGCTGAACTCCAGGCGTATCTGAGAATAAAACGGGTCTTGATCCTTCTTGAAAGTACCCACAAGACTCATGACACATACCACAAAAGAATCAAGGAGCTTATAGGTGATGATGACAGTGATGATGATGGTTTCCAACGTGGTAGTACCATAATCATCACCACTGACGTCACCTATTCTTCTCATAATTACACAAGAGTTTACCCTCCGCGTGCTATATACAAGGCCTTCTACGATAAAGCCAAGGAGCTTACACATGAGGGTGTACACTGCAACCATCAGTATGTTGAAGAGATTTTGGACAAATGTTACCCTCATGCCTTTACGATGAAGATGTTCATGCATCTTCTCCAGGCAAATCCCCAAAGGACGGATAATGAGCTTCAAAACATCATGGGGAGCATATCAAGTTGTATAAGGCTCAACAAAAGCGTCCCTGAGCAAATGCTCATGTGGTGCTACAATGACCTGCCTAGCAAATACAAGAGTTGCTTGATGTATCTATCCATTTTCCCCAAAGACCGCACCATCACAAGGACAACCCTGGTTAGAAGATGGATTGCTGAGGGCCTCATAAACCCTACAAGAGAGTACTACACTACCCAAGGTCAGTTGGATAATGCAACAACACTAGAGGTTGTAGCCAAGCACCATTTCGAGATGCTCGTCGCTCGAGGGTTCATTCGTCCTGTTGATATCAGTGATGCATGCAACATCAAGACATGCACGTTACTGTTGGAATTAATCTATGGTTGAAACAAACCGTGAGAGAAAAGGGGAGCCTTTTGACCCCAGGTGTGCAATGATCGGAAGCACACCACACATCCACACGTTTGGTTTTGGTCCCATGTACCCAGCACACACACATATATAAGGAAAAGGGGGTTTTCATTATGGATAACAACATATCGATCTAAACCACCTAACTGCCGATCCTGAATATGTGCTGAGGTATGTGAAGGCCATCTCCACCACCGGCCACCGCAGAGCTGTGCCTGCGGCAACCCTGCTGTCATCCTCGCCACCGTGCTGCTTCTTCCCCAACATCTCCTCGCCACTGGAGACACAAAGGTGCAGCCGTGGGCTACACAGGGGCTGCATCGAGATATCGCCAAGTACCTGTAAGTTTGTATGCTTCCGCATAAAGTTGTTGATCTAGTCTGAGATTAGGACCATACGTTGATTAGCCTAAAGGCTAATTTATCTAACATTGGTATCTCGAGCCTATCTAATCTGGCTAGAACACAAATTAGGCCTTCCAAACGTTAATTCCAAGTTAAATGGCCTAATTGATCTAAGATGATGGTTTTCGGTTAATGATGTGGTAGTCCTGATTGATCAAGTGCATCTCTTATTTTTGCCCCTATGTCATGTTAATGCTATGATCAGTAGCTAGCAGTTTTTCTGATAGCACATAAATTTTAATTGTTAATGTTCATGGTTATAAAGCCTTGATCCGAATCAAGTTAATATGAAGTAAAAAGGTATTGGCTCGATTAGCAGTGAGAAGGAGGGGAAATCGCAAGAAATCAAAGAAATCCGAATGGCAATCTTCCCCTAATCCCCAAATCCCAGCCCAGATCAACATTAAAAAAGGAAAGAGGGACTGGGACTTGTGTTGTTGTTGCCGGCCAACGTGCGTACTCACCATGGCAAGAAGGACGTCGTCCTTCGGAACGACGGCCGGAATGATGCGCCTGGCCGATCGCCTCTCTAATGGACGCGCGCAGCCAACGCTCCGTCACCACCAAAGATTGCGCCGGCGCCCGCCGGCGAGATGTGCTCCTCCGGTCCATGCGCGTGCAGCGTGGTCGCCACCGTTCGACGAGGAAGCACACGGCGTTGGTCCGCAGTAAGCTTCTCCGGCGAACGGAGCCGGCACGCCGCCATGCTTCTGCTGCGCGGCGCCGCCGAAGCGGTCGCCGTTTTCTCTCATAGAGGCGAGCGGAGATTTCGGGGAGAAAGTGGGGAATGAGGTAGGGTTTGACCGGCAACCTGTTTTGTTCCGGCTGGGATGATACGGACCGTCCACTGAATCGGACGGCTGAGGTTGGCGCCCAGGCTAGCTGCTGGGCTTTCGAGTGGATAAAGGGCATAATCTGACCAGTGGTTGAGGCCTAAGTTGTCCAGGCCCCGGGAGATTTTTCTTTTTCCCTGAGAATTTTTCTCCTGGGCAAATCAATGAAAGGCTACCGTGCGTATCATGGGCAAAATTTAATGTTCTTTGCATTTTCCTTTTATTCAGTGCTTTTATGTATTATGATCATTCTCAAAATGTGTTGCGCTGCTTTAAAATGAAAATATCTAGAAAATTATGTTGTAAATTATGTTTTAGGTTTTCAGAATAAACCTTTTTTGGGGTACTTTTAACACATGAAATTTGATGATGAGTATCATTTAAATATATTTGATGTAGGATTTTTTTTAAATTTGATATTTAATCTAAGAATGATGTGGCCAATATCTATAATGAATTATTCATTTTTTTAAAGTGCCCTTTATGCAGTTTTTTTTTCAAGTTATGTCTTATGTACTAATTAAGTTAGAAAATGCCCTGATTTTAAAGGAGAAATATGATATGAGATTATGATGTCATTTACTTTCAGTGGTAATCTCTCTTTAATAGCATGTCAATGTTGAATTATGAGATGATATTTTTTTTGCACAGTTATGTTCAACTTAAAAAATTTATGAATAATTTTTTTTTTGGATATCAAACATGAATTTTATGTTGATTTTATGATAATGTTATTCCGTAATGATGTGATCATCACTAACGGACTAAAGTCACCTCAACAAAAATGCTAATGCGTGGTGCGGTTTTCCGCGTCGCACTACGCATCTAATAATGTTGGGCATGTGTGCTCCTTGAACAATACTAAGGTTTATGTTGATTCATTTTATATTGAAATTAAGATATGCACTGTTGAAATAAGCATAATTGACCAAAATAGTATTGATAAAGTTATGATTGATTTTCTAACCAAATAAATGTTGTTTAAAGAATTTTATGTGATATGCAATATCCTAGTCATTATATGACATTTTTATGAAATCTATCCAAAGTACATGTTGCCATTCATTTGACCATCATAATTTGTCAAATATTATTATTTCATGAATTATTATGTAACTTTATGTCCAAATTTTATTATTTTAATCTTATGATAACCTGACGATAATGTTAATGTCAATTTTAATGTTGGCAATGGCATTTATATTTATGACATTTTCACTCTGAATGCCCTCTTTAATGATTACTCGGTGGGAGGGACATTCCTATTTATATGTTAATTCAAATGTCATTTTCATTGTATGTCATTGACAATTCTAACGATAATTTTGACACTCAAGTTCAATATTTATATTATCGTTGTGAGATTTAGTGTCAAAAGGCATCATAGTGCCTCATGGCACACACGATTATATTATGATGTTACTTTATGTTAATGATGGCAATTAATTTAGTCGTAGTTCTTGTTGGTCATTACGAGATTTTACATCTCCCTAGTCAAAATGGAACCAACGAGAAGTTTTGATTAGAGATTTAATGAGCAAGCGTTCTAATGGCATATGATGATATTCTTATTGATTATGTTTTTCATGTGTCATTTACGAATGAGTAAGGTTCTTTTTTGTTATCTTCCCAACGGTGATACAAATTAGAATAAAAATTAAGCACGTTTTTATTCATGCCATTGCATGGTTAGTTCATGCATGATTCTTTCTTATGATGATCATCAAGTTGTCTCCTCTTTTCCAGCAATAATAATGATGTCAAACTTCTGTTTGGCATAGAAGAACCTTGTAAATAACTTTTCCACATCGAGAGTGGAGATCATTGTCTCATGTAAGGAATCTCCCAATGTTTTTCTGCCATTAAGGTTGAAGGATGTTAATCATGATAATAAGACAAACATTGAGAGAGGACGCATGTGCCATCATGCACATCACTAATGCAAAGGAGATTAAAGTCAAAACTATTGGATTTATTCCACTAGTTTTTGGAGATGACTTAATTTTTCATCTTATTGATGATGCTTTGTTCATGCTCCTAGTTATTGGGAAACCTTGATTTGGTCTCTCAAATAGATGCCGTTATCTTATATGTTATTAAGTCAACTCCAATTATGTAATGTTAGTCCCACCTTATGGTGAGACGAATTATGTTTTCACTAATTGAATCTTTTGTAAAGATTAGATGCTATGTTATAATTGAGTATGCAAGAGAAGTGTAATTAATGAGACCTCATCAAAATTGTGGTTTTAGACCACATTTCGAGGGGGAGGCTAGAAGTCTCATTCAATATGATATATCGCGTTCACTTCTCCTACTTAGATTATAGCATGTACAACTAAGCAAACTATGTATCTCAATTCTCTAATTAAGATGGAACCAACGAGAAGTCTTGGTTGGAGAATGTATGAAAAGCACATTCTAATGTTGGTTCTCTAATTAAGATCCAACAAATCTTATTTAGAAGAATGAATGAAAAATGACTCCTTTATCATGTTAGCGTGTACTTAGTCCCTTATGAACATTACAAAGCACACATGAATGCTAAAGTGGCAAGCTTGCTAGTCTAATGACCATCATGATGTAACATGTTGATTATATATGACCAACGTCATTTATAATCATATGTGACACTTCACTCAAGTGGCAAGTTTGTTAGTATCATGTGGCTTGTGGTTATATTTTGACTAACGTTGTTTATAATCATTTGTCACTACTCTTTAAGTTCTTTTCCATCTTCAGCCCAACGGTGTTGTGGTTTAGAACTGAAATGATTATTATTAAGATTCTGGATATGTTTTTAAATCCTTTAAATAAAGTGATCATCGGGGAACCTAGAGAGTATGAACATGAATCTTAAGGATAACTCCATTAGATCTTTATTCATATGCATCGGGTAAGTTGAGAAAAAATGCCTATTGCAACACTTGATGTTGAGACTTAACAATTACCCAGTGATTGATAATGTGTGTGAACGATCATCTTAGAGGCTTGTGTGATAACGAGCTCTAATGATGTATGGGACTCAATAGAGTTTACTCAACGAGTTGTTGTGATGCTTGGATTGTTATTATAACATGCTCTTGTGTTGGCGAAGTTAAGAATGGTCTTAGGACTCAACCATAAGTTTTCGTCATGGAGAAGTTTGACATAAGGCATGTTATCTAAAGAAATACAATTATGAAATAATACAAGCATTGGGCCTCTCGTACCATAAAATGAGGGGGAGTAAGATTACTAACTTGTGAAGATGGAATATTTTTGGCGAGCCAATAATTTTTTTATCTTCTATTTATGACATAGGATCTTGGTGATGCCTCATACTTTGCTTGTATTGAATTTTGCCAAGATATAGGTCTGAAAGGAGTACAAATTTTATTATGACGACATACATCGATAGAGTACGAAAGAAAATATTAAGTGGTAGTACTCTATCTTACCTGCTACTAAAGTTAAGGGCAATAAAGGTGGACATTTCGGTGTCCAAGGAACCATTATGAACTGATCAGATAATGTCGATTCCTTATGCTTCGGTTGTCAGAAGCACTATGTGTATTCAGGTATGAACGTGCCCTTGTTTGTGATCGGGATAATTGGCAAATATAGAAGTAAGTCCAGAAATGGACCAGTAGAAAAACTGCTACAGCCTTGTAGATATGCAAGGCAATAAAGTTTACATGCTCACTAATGAGAAGTTTGATAACCTTGATATCTTGTGTTATTCAGACATTGTTTATGCGAGATATGTGGATATTAAAGTTTCCACGTTACGTTACATCCTCATTCTTGCATATGGAGTTATATTGTGGAAAAGCTCCTTAATGACACTGATGGCCTTAAAAATATGCATTTAATTATGTGGCGTGTTAAGAGGCTACTGGGCAGGTTATATGTCAAGAAATTTTATTCCTGAAATTATGGTGGTAGACAACATATTTTTAACCACCTACTGCAATATGATACGCAGTTTTCTATGCGAGTAACAACAAGTTGAATGGCATTGCCAAAGCCATTGACAATATATTTAGTGTTGTGAAAAATAGAATCCAGGATCAAGCTATTGAAGTTGAGCGTATGAGAACATTTGAATGTTTTACGGATCCGTTTATCGAAGGCTTGCCACCCATACTTATGATTATGTTGCCGGCATGGGGTTACTGGAAAGCCTTTTGATCCTGAAAATGAGGACCGTTCAATAAACCAACTCCCATAAAGTAATATGTTATCCATTTCAAGATAGAATGGTGTACTATAAGTATTGAGGTTTAATGACACCTTTTGGCCATTAGAACACCTTACTTTGGTATATTATTTCTATTAAGAATGGGCTTATGATGTTTGTTAACCTTACGATCAAGGGGGAGAATGTTGGAATTAATCTACGGTTGAAACAAACCGTGAGAGAAAAGGGGAGCCTTTTGACCCCAGGTGTGCAATGATCGGAAGCACACCACACATCCACACGTTTGGTTTTGGTCCCATGTACCCAGCACACACACATATATAAGGAAAAGGGGGTTTTCATTATGGATAATAACATATCGATCTAAACCACCTAACTGCCGATCCTGAATATGTGCTGAGGTATGTGAAGGCCATCTCCACCACTGGCCACCGCAGAGCTGTGCCTGCGGCAACCCTGCTGTCATCCTCGCCACCGTGCTGCTTCTTCCCCAACATCTCCTCGCCACTGGAGACACAAAGGTGCAGCCGTGGGCTACACAGGGGCTGCATCGAGATATCGCCAAGTACTTGTAAGTTTGTACGCTTCCGCATAAAGTTGTTGATCTAGTCTGAGATTACGACCATACGTTGATTAGCCTAAAGGCTAATTTATCTAACAGTTACATCATGAAGCTTCCGAGTTCATCGCCAGGATTGCCATAGATGTCAACTTTGTGGACACAGATCTGCCACAAGGTTTTGCGCAACACCTTTCCATCCATAACAGAATACCACTGCAAGCATGTCATCCTCCTACGGAAGTTGCCAATGACATAGTAGCATCTCTTCCATATTTGGCCAAGTCATCTCAGTGGAAGCTCTTGAAGGTGATGGATCTAGAGGGTTGCAGAGGGTTGAAGAAGAAACATCTTAAGATTATTTGTAAGATAATACTGCTCAGATATTTCAGCCTCAGGAATACAGATGTCACTGAACTTCCAAAGCAAATAGAGATGCTAACATGCTTGGAGACATTGGACATCCGGCAAACTGCAGTAAGGGCGTTCGCCACAAAGTCTATTATGCTTCCAATGCTAAAGCATATGCTTGCTGGGGAGAGTCAGACATGCCCTCCTCCTTTGAATAACAATCCTGAGAGGTTTCAAGAGTCATTTGTGGGGGTGCGCCTTCCCAATGGCGTCCCAAGAATGGAAAAACTGGAGATGTTGTCTCATGTTGATGTTTCCCACAGTGTTGATGATATGATCAGCATCGGACAACTGCTGCGACTAAGGAAACTAGGTGTGATCCTCGATAGGAAGAATAGAGATGGCTTGTTGGATCTTTTGTTCCAACAGATTGAGAAGTTGCATGGTTGCCTCCGTTCCTTGTCAATCCAGGTCAACCATCCGGTTACAAGTGACGGTGTTATTATTCATGATGATGCAGACGAGGTGCATGCATTGGGCTCGCCTCCGAAACTCCTTCGGAGCCTAAACATCAGAGGCATCAGAAATGGGCTCCTTGGCTGGATCGCAGAGCTCGATAAGCTCGTCAAGTTAACACTGAGCGAAACTTACCTTGGGGAAGATGCTCTAGGCATCATTGGCAATCTTGGAGTTCTAGCTTGTCTCAGGCTTCTGCACAAGTCGTACAACGGAAGCAAGCTCCACATCAAGAATGGAGAGTTCATTAGCCTCAAGTCTTTGATCGTCCGAGGCAACGACATCACCAGCATTCACTTTAACGAAGGTGCATCACCTAAGCTTGAGATGTTTGTGTGGTCTTTTGCCAGAATGGAGGCCATGGATGGACTCGATGAGCTTTACTATTTGAAGAAGGTTGAGCTCTATGGTGACTGCAACCCACAGCCCCTGCGAGACCAGATGTGGAGGGGGTTGTATTTCCAGTACCTGCGAGATCAGATGTGGAGGAGGTTGGATTTCAAGCACAACGGATAGCAAATGTTAGTGCAAAGAGACTATGAAGATGTGGTTGCTGTTTGATTGGTACCGTGTGGCATGCGCGATCAATTCTGCACACGGCATCAACCGGAAGCTTCGCTTATCTGAGCGGTACTTGTCTAGATATATATCTCTCTCCATTTATTTATCCTCCTTGAATAAAAGATGCAGCTGAAGGAGAGGTAGCCTGGTGGTCTTCATCCAGCTAGCTTGGATCTTTCATCTGCCTCATGCATGTGTGCGTCTGTGAATGTATGTATGTGTGAATCATGCATGGCTGCCCTTAACCCCGGCAGTTTGTGTCTGTGTCTAGTGCGTGTGTGAGCTGACCTATATATGGTCTTCAGTGTGGTGTGGTGTGTATGTGTTTTCATTCCGAGTGTTCAAATCACATGTACTGTGTGATCAACATCTTAATTATATACTTGAAATGCTTGAATATCCTATGGCAAATTGATGAGTCAAGTCACAAGCTAACGGGACGAGGAAACACTTCCTACCGTTATCAATCGTGACGACCTTGGAAGGGTGACAACCTGGGTTCCGAATTCCAGCCTCCCACTTTGAGCAAAGAACAAAGGCGCCTTGTGTTTCATAACTTGTGCCTGCATTACCATTCCTTCATATCAGCAACACCGACAAAATATGTTAACGTTTCAGCGATCCTGCAAGACAAACTCTAGGTACAACACAACAACAGCAAACAACACGTTTGGCATACAGTCCTTGTTATTCCACACAGCGTACTTGAGCATTGCCACCAGATTTGCCTTGTTAAAATTTGAGCAATACTCCAAGCCAACCTTGAGGATTACCAATTATTTTTTTCAGCTTTTGGTACAATAGCAAACATATGTTTACTACAACTGTACAATTGCCCAGTGAGACATGTAACTTCAGACGTACTGCCTCCGTAAACTAATATAAGGGCATTTAGATCACTACTTTAGTAATCTAAGCATTCTTATATTAGTTTACAGAGGGAGTACCAACCACGAAGCAAGCAATGGAGCGGAATCCTCTCACCTAAACTATGCATGATATGCTCCGTGTATAATACAACTGCAAAAAGAAAGAAGAATGTGGGACACATAGTGCATTTGGACATCATTATCCACCAAACCGAAGACACAAAGTTTGTTATCCATCACATGCCTAAGTAGCGTGTATCGCGCAAAATTCACACCGAAATAGAAAGAAGCATGAATAATAACCTGGGAATTTTTCGGACTCATGGCATCGTTTGTGTGCCAGCTGAAGAAGAGCCACTTCCTTTCTGAACGGCAAAAGACTGCCAGCAGCAGCAGCCGACAGCTCGACTGACAGGCTAGCCATCCGGCGTCTGCTCCCGCTTCCACCGGCCGTCGCTGCATTCGCCTCCGGGCGTGGGGAACGGCGGCGAGACGCGCCGATGCCTCCTTCGGCCGGTCGCCTCCTCCCCGGCTCACCGGCTCCTACGCTCGGGGGATGGCGCAGAGAGATTGGGAGGGAGGAACGCGACGCAGGAGGCTACACTCACTCCGGCTGGCCGCCCGAGTTGAGAGATCAATATCCCAACTTGTTTTTGAGGCAATCCCAACTTTTTTTTGAGCCGTATAATATCCCAACAACCCGAGCCCATCAATCCATTAGGATGGATGAGGGCCCACGGAGAACACGGCGCAGGCCCTCTCCCAGACGGGCCCACACGTCAAGTGCGGCCCACTCCACGCCCACCCCACCCATCGCCGTCCCTCGCGTCGCGTGGACTGGACAGACCACTCCCCTCCCTCCACGGCGAACCGCGACGGCCGCCGACGAGATCCGGCGAAGAGAGAGAGAGAGAGAGAGCGAGAGGGCCCGAGGATGTTCGGGATGCGTGCGAGCGGCGCGGCGGCGTCGTGGGTGGTGGGGCGGATGGGCACGGACGCGCACCTGTACGACGACCCGGAGGACGCCGCCATCCCGGCGCTGCTCGACTCCCGCTTCGACGGAGACAAGGTCGACGCGCTCAAGCGCCTCCTTGCCCTCATCGCCCAGGGGGTCGATGTCGCACACCTCTTCCCCCAGGTCCGTCCCCTTCTCCCGTTCCTCTCCTCTCGTCTCATCGGATTTCGGCCACTGAGCTGAGCTGTTGGGCGGCGCAGGTGGTGAAGAACGTGGCGGCGCAGTCGCTCGAGGTCAAGAAGCTCGTCTACCTCTACCTGCTCCACTACGCCGAGACGTAAGCAAGCTAAGCCTCCCCATGCCCCTCATCTGCATTTCTCCATGCCTCTGCTGTGATCTCAGTTCTTTTCTCCAGATCTGAGCTCAGTAGGAGCTGCTTCGGCTAGATTTTACTTGCATTGTTTCTCCGGCCTGTGATTCGCAGAGAAAGATTGTTGGAGCTAAGTTGGCAAGGGAAAAACCTTTTGTCAACGAATCATGGTCGATATATCGCTGTTATCTGTTTGGGAGTTATACGAGTTTCACTGTAGATGGTTCGATTGAAATTGGAACCGAGGAAAAATCCCGCTTAATGCATCAAGCATTAGTTCTTAGCAACACTCCTGGACTGAAGAAACTACTAGAAACGGCATAAACTTGACATCTGAAGAGACAAGTTGAATTTAATAGAGTGTCATTATAGGTTGCTTTTGCTTGCTCATGAACCAAGTTGTTATTAGTAGTATATATGATATGACTTTGCTTACACTTGTCTCGCACATGGCCAAAGCGCAACACGTTGCTTCGCGCGGAAACTTCTCCGCCTAAATAGTAACAGACCATCCATCCATCGGAGCTTGTGAATTGCATGAGCTCTTCTGGAAAATCCGGTCACCCGTTCTCCTAGATCGATGAGAAGTTAAACAAGAAAAGTCGATGAGTTGTTTTGGCTACCCTGCTCTCTGCTTGGAAAGAATACTAATGCTGGTGCTCCTGAGAGTTACCTTTCCAGTCAGCAGTCGGACCTGAAAGCTCTGTGAAAATTATAATTCATCAGCATGTCTGAATCTAAATATAAAGTGGCCAGCCCAGACCTGTGGAAAATAATTCTTTTGATGGCAGTGATGTGCATATCCTATTGCCATGACTTTCTGTTCTTCCTCTTGCAGTAGAAAGTTGCATGGAGTTGCTGGACACCTTACCTGAAAAAATATGTAGAAATGTTGCCCAATTTGTAGTTCTTTATTGGCTCATGTTTCACCATTCTGGCCTGTCTGATTGTCTTAGTACTGTACTCCAGATCTCACCAGGGACTATCAGCAATTTTTGTTGCGTACATTTTATCTGATTGACATATTTTAAGCTCATTACTTCAATGTCAATTTTAATGAACAGAATTGTATTTTTCACTCTCACAAGAAAGTATCCAAAATAATTTATCTGCTTCCTTGACATTGTACCATGATCACATTGAGTGATTGACAGAAATTTAGATGCTACTCAAACATATCACACTGCTGCTAAACACTAGACGTTTGCAATCATAATCAGATGAACAGTGTATTGACCTGTTCTGTTGTTCTACAACAGGCAGGCAGGCAGGCAATAAAGTGCAATGTTGCAATATGATCAAAAAACATGTACAACAGCAATATATGAACTATAATCTAATGAAAAAAAATGTGTATCTCCTGTTCTCGAATAATACATGCATCCTGGTGATGTTATAGACAAGGATCAATGGATCATGCTGTTTCATAAGTTTCAATCTTGGTCAACAAGTGGAATTTTGAATAAGAATGTTATCTCTCTCTGTGATTGATATGCGTTGTTACAAAATTTCTTGCTATTGCTGCAGGCGGCAAAATGAAGCTCTCCTTTCTATTAACATATTCCAGAAGGATTTATCAGACATAAACCCGTTGGTAAGGGCTTGGGCCCTTCGCACTATGGCTGGCATCAGATTACACGTTGTCGCTCCACTCGTGTTAGTGGCTGTGAAGAAATGTGCAAGGGATCCATCCCCATATGTTAGGAAATGCGCGGCATATGCACTTTGTAAGCTCTACGACTTGCTTCCAGAGGAAAACACAACCTTGGAGGAGGTCTGTTAAGTGCAACCTGCTTCTCATTTGTGTTGATTGTCGACATTATGTCTATCTGAAACCTGATCATGTTTTTGCAGATTGTGGACGTTTTGCTTGGTGACAGTTCCTTTGGAGTAGTGGGAGCTGCTACAGTTGCATTTAAGTCGGTTTGTCCAAATTGTTTAGCGCTGATAGCAAAGCATTTCCGACGGCTCTGTGAAACACTCCCTGATATTGAAGAATGGTATCAGATTACTCTAATTGAGATTCTCTTGCGGTATGTGATAGCAAAACATGGATTGGTCAAGGATTCTGTAATGTTTGCTGCAGAATTGTCTTTGGAGACCCAGGTTGGCAGGGATTCAGTTCCTGTTAGTAATATATCCAGCACCCAGGCGGAAACTATTGTTAACGGAGGTTCTGGCACTATGCCAAACATTATGTTGTTCCGGCATTACATTGAAGAATATTCAGGAGCTTTTGATAGAGACGATGATAAATTCAGCTTTCCATCTGTCACTACTAGCACAAATGATGATGTCGTAATTCTATTGAAATGCACGTCACCTCTTCTGTGGAGCCAAAATAGTGCAGTGATACTTGCAGCAGCAAGTGTTCATTGGATAATGGCTCCAGCTGAGGAAGTGAAGAGAATTGTTGGCCCGATTTTATTTACTCTACGCTCATCTCCTGATGCAACATATGTGGTACTTTCTACATATTTTTACCTTGTATTGTATCCCAGATTTCAACTAGAAATAATTATGGTATTGTATATTTCACTAATCATTTCTGTTATCATGTAATTAAGTTGTGTCAGAATCAACTTATGTACGTAAATATCATATATCATAGTGTAGCGGAATAAAATTTTCCTAATACTCATGTGGCACTGTAGAGTGGTCAACTGTTATGCTTTGAGTTATGCATCCGTCATTGCTTGAACTCGTATAAAGCACACACACACACACACCCACGCGCGCGCGCATTTGCACTCACAACTTTGTGTTAGATGAAGCTAAAAACTGAGCACTGAGTTCGTTTTATTACGTCTTGGAATCATATGTTAAGGCATTCCTTGCAGACATAAGAATCTAATAATTTTCCAGCAGATGTATGTTTTTCTGACGCTGGTTTCTTATTGAGCTGACCCCCTTTTTTTGTTCTTGCAGATGCTTGGCAACATACTAGTTTTTGCCAAGACTGCCCCATTGTTGTTTGCTTCGTATTATGAAGATTTCTTCATATGTGCTTCAGACCCGTACCAGACTAGGGCTTTGAAGCTTGAAATACTCACCACCATTGCCACAGAGTCATCTATTCCAGCCATTCTTGAAGAATTTCAGGTATTTGTTTGTATGTGCAACATATTCCCATATAAGCTGAGCTGTCACACTGACTTGCAACCATATATTTGCTTATCACGTGAAAGTCTTTGATAGAACTCCCTCTTAAGGTAACAAAATCATCACTTACCCTTGCAAAATAATTTCAAAAGCCAAGCTAGCATTTCCTGTGTCATACTGATGATGGTTCATGCATGCTAAATACACCTTTAAAACCTTCTTGGATCTAAGTGTGAGTACAGTTTTTTTGGATCTAAGCGTTCTACTCATGGAAATTAGTCTTATAGTCAAGCTTAGCAGCATGAAAAATTGATGTCCGCTACCTATGTGATCAAGGATTTATAGTTATAGCTCCCTGGCATTCTGCTTATAGTACTTTGTAATTGTTGCCAGGATTATATTAAAGATCCGAATAGGAGATTCGTGGCAGATACAGTTGCTGCAATTGCATTGTGTGCCCTGAAACTCCCCTCTATCACCTCCAGTTGTCTTGAGGGACTTTTGGCACTTGTACTGTACGGTACGGTAATAACTGTTCTCTCTGCATATGTTGTGATTGATTATCCTTCTTGAATAATAATGTTTGGTTTTCACCTTGTTACAGAATTGTCTATCACTAACTCAGTTCACTTGAATGAAGAAGATGCTGTTTTAGTTCAAGCCATCTTGTCAATCAAAGAAATAGTGAAAATAGATGCAGCATCTCATGAGAAGGTACTATAAAATTAGTTTATATAAGCTTCTAATCCTGTAGCGCCACAGATCTGTTATATACTTTTCATATTATATGGGTAATGCATTCACTTGACATTATGATCATTTGATAAAGCAGTTGTATTGGTGTGTGGAATGTAGCATAGCTGACCAGGCTCCTTAAACCATCCCCTACTCCTTCTCCATATCTTTCTTTGTATGAGATCCACATGGGTGGGTTATGCACGTATGCCATCTACGTGTAGTACATATACAACTCAGATCAATACACAATGGTGTTGCATCAAACCATTCTGCCCCCTTCCTACATGGGATGTATGCTCTATTGTACAGCGTATGGATTTCATATATCACCTTGTTTAAATGACAATTTCCTTTGCTCTTGTTTCTGTGTTGGTCATATTTCCCCTAGTGAATGGTGATGAACTATTTAAATTTCTTTTATCCTTCTCTCCTGTACAACCTGTGGTGTCATTCATTGGAAGTATATTCAAGAACAAATGTAGATATAGGATATCAGGATGCCATGTGCTACCGTTTGAATGCAGTTTTCATGATTTACATTTTTTTATTTGACATATTCATTAATTTTTTTCTCCTAAGGTGATTATCCGCTTGGTTCGTTGTCTGGATACAATTATGGAGCCTGCCGCACGGTCCTTAATTATTTGGATATTTGGTGAGTATAGCTCTACTGGAAATCTCATCCCAAAGATAGCTCCAGTTGTTCTTAAGTATCTGGCATGGTCCTTTGCCGCCGAAGTGCTCGAGACAAAGCTTCAGATCCTAAATGCTTCTGCGAAGGTATATATCAGAAGTCCCAACTTTAGTTTTCTTACACTTAAATGGAGATTGCTAATAGGTTTATTTTTTCAGGTTATCATACATTCTGCAGAAGAACGGCTAGAAGAATTCAAAAGGATAGTGACATATGTCATTCAGTTGGCTGCATGTGACATGAATTATGATGTCCGTGATCGTGCACGTTTCTTGTCAGGACTTCTGCCATGCTGTGCTAATGAAAATGACTCCTCATGTCGAGCGCAGAATGTAGATGTTATTAAAGAGCTAGCTGATCATATCTTTGGTGGGAAGATACCTCCTGCATCTAATTCAGACAGCAACTACCGGATTTATCTTCCGGGTTCCCTGTCACAAGTTGTTCTTCATGCAGCGCCTGGTTATGCACCACTTCCAAAGCCTCAAAGTATGATCTTAATTCATAAGACCGTAGAACCAACCAGAGGCATGGCCGATTCCTCTGAAGGTACTAATTCTGATGCTGAATCTGGATCTTCAAGAGATGAGAGTGGCTCTGTGTATGATTCAGAAAGTGAAGCTGGTAGTGATTCAAATGATGATGGCCATAACCTTCATCGTCAAAAGGAGAACAAGGAAGCTCCGTTGATTCATATGTATGATGGTAATGTAGATCAAGCCTATGCAGGTCAAGCTGTCGATGAAAATTTGGCATCTCTCATCTCTACTGATTTGACAGAATTAATGTCCAAGTCAGCCTTGGAGTCATGGCTTGATGAGGCTCCTGCTGCACCACTTGTTCAGGATTCGGTACAGACATCATGTGCAAGGGTTTCTTTTACCACTCGCAGCTTTGAGAGAAAACCTAAATTGCATAGGTTGTTAGATCCATCGGATAGTGATGGCTTGAGTGTTCTATATGCCTTCTCATCTGAGGTTTCACCCAAATCACGCTTGCTAGTATGTGTAGACTTGTTTGTCGAGAATGTTACAACAGAACAATTAGCGGATATAACCATTAAATCTGAAGAGGCTTCTGGTAGCAAGGGTGGCATGGACCAAACATCAGAAGGATCCGCAAGGTTTGCATCGTTATATTGTCTGTATTGTGATCGTTTCTTGGTCAACTTATTTCTCAGCTCATGAATTGTCTTCACTGCAGCATACCAACTCTTGTTCCTGTTGAAGAGATACAGTCACTGGCTCCCGAACAGACAGCTAAGATGCTTCTTCAGGTTCACTTTCATCACCATCTCTTGCCCTTGAAGTTGTCTGTCCTTTGTAATGGGAAAAGGCATCCAGCCAAACTTCACCCGGACATTGCTTATTTTGTACGACCACTACCCATGGACCTAAATGCTTTTCTATGCAAGGAAAACCAGCTGAGGGGAATGTTTGAGTATGCTAGAAGGTAACCAGACCCTATCCTATCTTTACTACTCCCTCTGTCCCATAATATAAGAACGTTTTTGACACGAGTAGTTACTTAGTTTCATGCAGTCGCATCGATTAGGAACTGATCTGACACATCTGCCTGCCCAGACGGAAATGGTTGTGACTGGTGAAAATGCTTCAGTTTGCACATTTCATTAACTATAGATAATTATAGGAGAATGTTGAGAAACAGGAGGTTGCTCTTGCTTCCCCTTGAACCAATTACCATGTTGCTGCTCTGTTTTAATGGAACACGCAAAGAGGAGTATTTTCGTCATGATGTTATTTCTTATACATCATGTACTATTAGAAAAGAATGTTCCCCTAAAAAAAGAATGTCTATTATGGAAAAAAAAGAATGTCTATTATAGAAAAAGGAGTAAACAAGTAGGAATAGATTCTCAGTTTTATATTAGTTCAGCCACTTAAGCAAAAATAATTTGAGACTTATATTTTGCCAGCAAGAAACATCTTGTTAACAGATGAGTACCGTTTTAGGCATCTCTTGTTTGCATTTTATGGACACCATCAGACTTTTAAAGGCACATGATACTTATTATGCACTTTGCATCATGTTATGAATGCAAATTCAAATTAAGATTATCTTCATGTGCACTAAATTATCTGATTGTTAGTCACCACGATCATTTTATTGCATAACCTGAGCCCACAATATCACAAACAGACCGAAGAGAGTACAGATCTGTTGTGATGATCTGTTGACTATAACCTGCACTAATTTTATTGCATAACCTGCACTAATTTTATTTCATGTTGTGATGATCTGTGGACTATATGCTGGAACTAAATCTTTTAGGAATTGCAACAGGTGCACTTTCAAAGATCATCTTCAAAAGCACGAGCAGATCGAAGAGAGTACAGATCACAACACTGACAAGAACCTTCTGGTAGCCCAAACTCTCGCATCGAAAGTACTCAGCAACGCCAATGTTCACCTAGTGTCAATGGATATGCCGGTGACCTTCAGCATCGATGACGCCTCCGGTTTGTGCTGGCGATTCAGCAGCGAGATCCTAAGTACTTCGAACCCCTGCCTGATCACTGTCGTGGCGGATGGGCACACCTCGGAACCACTGGATCTCACCGTCAAGGTGAACTCCGAAGACACGGCGTTCGGCCTGAACCTCCTGAACAGAGTCGTAGCGATCATAGAGTGAAGGGGCACTTTTGAGTTCAGCAAGTTTGGTTCAAATGCTACTTTTGTGGATATTGTAAATTATCGTACATTGTTGTGAATGTCGAGGGCTTTAGAGTAACCCGACTGATTGTTGTACATCTTTTTACCACCTTGTATTCCTTTTCTCATTGTTAGATTTGATTTTTTTTGGGGGGATAAACTGATGGCAAGCTTGCTGTTGTTACAAAGTGCACGACAGAATCCGCGATAGCACGGCGTTGCGGCGTGCTGCTGGATAGTAATGTTGATGATGACACTGTAAGTAATGGCATGAGATTGCTGTGGGAGCAATAAATTCCAGAGTTTTAACCACAGTACAATTTTTGGATTATGATGACATTGTACAATCGATAAATCCAGTTGTATATACATCTCAGACAAACACAGCAAACGCAGAGCTTGGCACACAAAGGTTTTCCTTCTCAGAAACTAGTAAAGAGAAGGTAATTGCTATAACTAATAACCATGTCAAAAACAAGGTAGTATCCAAGCTAACGATATAGGCCTCACCAAGCAGCGCCGGCCATGGCCTCCCCAACCCCAAGCAGCGCCGCCGAATTCTTGGACCGCCGCCGGAGGGGCTCCTTGCTCAAATTCTTGGACCGTCGGTGCTGGCAGAGGCTTCATGATGTCTTCCATGGGCGGAGGCTCTCGCTGCTCGAACAGTTCCGGGTAGTTCCACTCCGCATCGGCCGGCATCTCCATCTCTGCGTTAGGGATAGCTTCTTTGTTCGCTGCGCCGGAGTCTTGATCAAAGGTCGTCGTCGTCATCCTGGTGGGTTCCTCTGCATCCAATGGCTCTGGCTCGTCTTCTTTGGTAAGGTTCTCCAACGGCTCTGGCAAGTTCTTAGTGAGGATCTCCAATGGAGATGGCAAGTCGTTCTTGGCAAAGGTCTCCACTGGCTCTGGCAAGTTCTTGGTAAGGGTCTCCAATGGAGATGCCAAGTTGTTAGTAAGCATCTCCAATGGACATGTCAACTTGTTGGTGAGCATCTCTAGTGGCCATGGCAGGCTGTTGGTTAGCATCTCCAACGGCCATGTCAGGTTGTTGGTAAGCATCTCCTGTGGAGATGTCACGTTGTTGGTAAGCATCTGCAGTGGCTCTAGTTCGTCCTCCATGGTAATCAACTCCCATGGCTCTGCTTCGTCCTCCATGGCAAGCATCTCCCGTGACTCTGGTTCGTCCTTGGTGAAGATGTGCTCCAATGGCTCCGGCTTCTCCTCCTCCATCGCAAACATCTCCAATGACGTGAGCTCATCCTTTGCATCTGCGGGCATGTCGTGCTCCCGGCGGCGCCGCCTCTTAGAAGACCGGGCGGCCTTGCTAGACTCCCCGCGCTCCACCTCCTCGCCATCCGCCGCCGTCCTTGTCGTTTGGTGCACCCTGCAGAGCACCCTGACGCCGGCGCCCTCGGTGGCCGCCGGCAGCACGGTCCCGAACTCCTCCATGAGGCAGGTGGTCTTGCGTCCGCGCGCGTCGAGGTACTCGAAGGCCTGCCGGTGCCCGGCCCCGGCGACGGTGACCCGCTTGCCGTACCCGTGCCATGTGCCGCCGCCCCGGACGGTACGGCTGGCCCGGCCGCCTACGGCGCCCTTCCAGCGCGTGACGCAGAGGAAGTACCAGTTGCCGTCGTCGTGGCCGAAGCGCCGGTGCCGCGACGTGAGGGCGGCCGGGTCCTCGCCGTAGATGTCCGCGACGCAGACGATGCCCTGGCGCTCGAAGACCGGCGTCTTTCCCGGGTCGGCGACCCAGAGATCGAGGTAGAAGTTGATGAGCTCCTCCGGCGTCGGCGTGAAGCGGAAGCCCGGCGGCGCGTGATCCATGGCCGCCATGGCTTTTGGGTAGTTCCTTTTAGAGGCTACGTGTCGGCGTCGGCGACGGGAGCCATCGCAGGTGCCGCAGGAGGTGGTGGGGTTTTAGGGTTTGGAGACCGGCAGGGATCGGGGTGCGGATTGGAGGAGGACGTACGATTGGCTCGCTTATATAGCGATCGATGGTGAGTCTGACTAGTCGAGTCGGTCTACAATTGCAAGTTTGCAACCGACCATACATGAAACATGATCGGGTTTTTTTTTGAGAACTACGGGTAATTTTCTTGATACATGAAACATTAACTTTTTATGTAGTACGCTACGTCATAATTCCGGGGTAGTAGTATCACTCCTTGACAACCGGAGTTCGACTCCCGTGTGGAACGAATTTCTGGAATTCTCGCTAAGGAAGCCTAATTATTAAAATTCCTTATGACATTTTTGGCGGCTCCAACCCTAGCCGCCGCAGTGGCGCCAATTCCTTATGACCACGTATGGATCGTTTTTACTCCACTAGTAGAAAACAGGGCTTTGGTCCAGGCCGGGTGAACCCATTAGTCCCGGTTCAGTCTAGAACCGGGACCAATGTGGGCATTGGTCCCGGTTCATGAGCCCAGGGGGCCGGCCGGGCCACGTGGGCCATTGGTCCCGGTTCATCTGGACCTTTTGGTCCCGGTTGGTGGGATGAACCGGGACCAATGGGCCTCGCTCCTGGCCCACCACCATTGGTCCCGGTTGGTGGCTTGAACCGGGACCAAAGGCTCCCATTTAGTCCCGGCTCATGTCACCAACCGGGACCAATGAGGTGCCTATATATACCCCCTCGCGCAAGAGCAGAGCACACTACTTAAGCTCACCTCCTATGCACATGAGGTGTTCGATGGAATGTCCGAGCCACACTACTTAAGCTTTCTCCTCTCGAAGCTCGACCTCCAAGCTCCATTTTCCTCGAGATTTGTCTAGATTTAGCGGTCCGTCACGCCCCGTCCCCGTCTTCACCGCCGTCGATCACCCGCGCCGATCTCATCACCGACACCACCGTGGTGAGCCTCTTGTTCTTATCTTCTTTCTGAAAAGAAAAATATTCTTACTTGTATGTTTAGATAGATACTTGTATCATTTTCTTACATTTATTATTGCATCTTATATAGTGCGATGGTTTTGGTATCCGCCCCCGTCGGCCCTCGTCCTGTCTATGATTCGGATGTGGTATGTATATTATCTTTATAACTATTGGTTCATTTATTGTTTATGAAAATTATGCCGACCAACGTGAAATAGATTTTATTTATCTAGGATGTATGTGAATCGAAAATGCCAACCGACCCTATTGTCGAGAGGTTAAATTTAGTTGAAGAAGAAAACAATTTGTTGAAGGAAAAAATAAAAAAAATTGAGGAGAAGATGATATTGGAGTTGCATGTTGCGGATGTCGTCGATGATCACAAGATCAAGATGGATGCAATGCGCTTGAAGATTAGAAAGATTAGAAAATATGCCATTCATACCGAGGCTTGCTATCATTATGCCGTTGGATCAATTGTTACCTTGGTTGCGATTATGATCGCATTTGTTTTCGCATTGAAATGTTTTACATAGTTTCAATGTATGGTTTAATTAATTAGATGCTCTGGAGAGCTATATGTTGTTAGATGAGAACTATGTATGCACTTTGGTTTTAATGTGATGATGAACTTCTATTAATTTGGACACTTAATTATATATAATGCACGCAGATGAACCGACAATGGATGTATGGTGACAGACACACCCGCGAGCACATTAAGGGCGTGCATGAGTTTCTCGATGCGGCTGAGGCAAACAAGCAGAATGGTTTTATGTGTTGTCCATGCACTGAATGTGGGAATACGAGGTCTTATTCTAACCGGAAAATCCTTCACTCCCACCTGCTTTACAAGGGTTTCATGCCACGCTATAATGTTTGGACGAGGCACGGAGAAATAGGGGTTATGATGGAAGACGACGAAGAAGAAGACTACGATGACAACTATGTGGCCCCTGAATACGGTGATGCTGCAACGGGGGGAGCTGGTGAAGATCAAGAGGAACCAGACGATGTGCCCAATGATGCTGCAACGGGTGAAGCTGCTGAAGATCAAGAGGAACCAGACGATGTGCCCGATGATGATGATCTCCGCCGGGTCATTGTCGATGCAAGGACGCAATGCATTAGTCAAAAGGAGAAGCTGAAGTTCGATCGCATGTTAGAGGATCACAAAAAAGGGTTATACCCCAATTGCGAAGATGGCAACACAAAGCTCGGTACCGTACTGGAATTGCTGCAGTGGAACGCAGAGAATGCTGTGGCTGACAAAGAATTTGAGAAGCAACTGAAAATATTGAAGAAGAAGCTTCCAAAGGATAATGAATTGCCCGACAGTACATACGCAGCAAAGAAGATCGTATGCCCTCTAGGATTGGAGGTGGAGAAGATACATGCATGCCCTAATGACTGCATCCTCTACCGCGGTGCATACAAGGATCTGAACGCATGCCCGGTATGCGGTGCATTGCGGTATAAGATCAGACGAGATGACCCTGGTGATGTTGACGGCGAGCCCCCCAGGAAGAGGGTTCCTGCGAAGGTGATGTGGTATGCTCCTATAATACCACGGTTGAAACGTCTGTTCAAAAACAAAGAGCATGCCAAGTTGATGCGATGGCACAGTGAGAACCGAAAGAAAGATGGGAAGTTGAGAGCACCCGCTGACGGGTCGCAGTGGAGAAAAATCGAGAGAAATACTGGGATGAGTTTGCAAAGGACCCAAGGAATGTATGGCTTGCTTTAAGCGCGAATGGCATTAATCTTTTCGGGGAGCAGAGCAGCAATCACAGCACCTGGCCCGTGACTCTATGTATGTATAACCTTCCTCCTTGGATGTGCATGAAGCGGAAGTTCATTATGATGCCAGTTCTCATCCAAGGCCCTAAGCAACCCGGCAACGAAATTGATGTGTACCTAAGGCCATTAGTTGAAGAACTTTTACAGCTGTGGAATGAAAACAGTGTACGTACGTGGGATGAGCACAGACAAGAGGAATTTAACCTTAAGGCGTTGCTGTTCGTGACCATCAACGATTGGCCCGCTCTCAGTAACCTTTCAGGACAGACAAACAAAGGATACCACGCATGCACGCACTGTTTAGATGACACTGAAAGTATATACCTGGACAAATGCAGGAAGAATGTGTACCTGGGCCATCGTCGATTTCTTCCGACCAACCATCAATGTCGAAAGAAAGGCAAGCATTTCAAAGGCGAGGCAGATCACCGGAAGAAGCCCGCCATGCGCACCGGTGATCACGTGCTTGCTGTGGTCAATGATTTACACTACGTAATCTTTGGAAAGGGTCCCGGTGGACTAGCTGTTCCGAATGACGCTGAGGGACACACACCCATGTGGAAGAAGAAATCTATATTTTGGGACCTACCCTACTGGAAAGACCTAGAGGTCCGCTCCTCAATCGACGTGATGCACGTGACGAAGAATCTTTGCGTGAACCTGCTAGGCTTCTTGGGCGTGTATGGGAAGATAAAAGATACACCTGAGGCACGGGAGGACCTGCAACGTTTGCACGAAAAAGACGGCATGCCTCCGAAGCAGTATAAAGGTCCTGCCAGCTACGCTCTTACGAAAGAAGAGAAAGAAATCTTCTTTGAATGCCTGCTTAGTATGAAGGTCACGACTGGCTTCTCGTCGAATATACAAGGAATAATAAATATGCCAGAGAAAAAGTTTCAGAACCTAAAGTCTCATGACTGCCACGTGATTATGACGCAACTGCTTCCGGTTGCATTGAGGGGGCTTCTACCGGAAAATGTCCGATTAGCCATTGTGAAGCTATGTGCATTCCTCAATGCAATCTCTCAGAAGGTGATCGATCCAGAAATCGTACCAAGGCTAAGGAGTGATGTGGCGCAATGTCTTGTCAGTTTCGAGCTGGTGTTCCCACCATCCTTCTTCAATATCATGACGCACGTCCTAATTCATCTAGTCGACGAGATTGTCATCCTGGGGCCCGTATTTCTACACAATATGTTCCCCTTTGAGAGGTTCATGGGAGTCCTAAAGAAATATGTCCGTAATCGCACTAGGCCAGAAGGAAGCATCTTCATGGGCCATCAAACAGAGGATGCTATCGGGTTTTGTGTTGACTTCATTCCTGGCCTTAACAAGATAGGTCTCCCTAAATCGCGGTATGAGGGGAGACTGACTGGAAAAGGCACTCTTGGAAGAGACTCAATAATATGCAGGGACGGATATTCTTGGTCTCAAGCACACTACACAGTTCTACAGAACTCTACCTTGGTGACCCCGTATGTCGATGAACACAAGAACAGTCTGCGCTCCAAACACCCGGAGCAGTGCGACGACTGGATTACATGTGAACACATCAGGACTTTCAGCAGTTGGTTGGAAACACGTCTCAGAGGTGACAACACTGTTTGTGATGAGTTGTACTTGTTGTCCAGGGGACCATCTTTGACTGTATTGACTTACAAAGGATACGAGATAAATGGGAATACATTTTACACGATCGCCAAAGATCAAAAGAGCACCAACCAAAACAGCGGTGTCCGCTTTGATGCAGCAACCGAGAGCGGAAAGGATACATATTATGGCTACATAGTGGACATATGGGAACTTGACTACGGACCTGATTTTAAGGTCCCTTTGTTTAAGTGCAAATGGGTCAATCTGTTAGGCGGCAGGGTACAGGTAGACCCACAGTACGGAATGACAACAGTGGATCTGAAAAATCTTGGGTACACTGACGAACCGTTCGTCCTAGCCAATGATGTGGCACAGGTTATCTATGTGAAGGACATGTCTACCAAACCGAGAAAAAGAAAAGATAAGGAAGCGAATACATCATACGATGAGCCAAAGCGCCACATAGTTCTTTTAGGAAAAAGGGACATCCTGGGAGTGGACGGCAAGACAGACATGTCTGAAGATTATGAAAAGTTTCATGAAATTCCTCCCTTCA